GAGTATACGTCAGTCTTATAACGTCCAAAACGAAGGTAGCACCAATAGAGAAACAAGTCTCAATTCCAAGATTGGAAATCTGCGGTGCGGCGTTAGCGGCTAAACTAATACTAGAAACATCTCAAGTGATGTGTGTGCCTAAAAACAAGTTATTTGCGTGGACAGATTCCACCATTGTACTTGCTTGGCTAAAGGGTGGGCCAAGCAGGTGGAACACTTTCGTGAGCAACAGGGTGTCAGACATACTTAACACTGTAGATTTCGAACAATGGGGGCACGTATCTACAGACATGAATCCTGCCGACTGTGCGTCACGGGGTTTACAAGGATCAGAATTATTAAATCATTCCCTGTGGTGGAATGGACCAACTTGGCTGTCTAACCTAAATATGAATAAAAACTACGTTCCTTACTACGAAGATACGCATGAGGAAGAACGCACGAGATCTTTAACTGCTATATACAATACTGAGAAAGAGTTAATTTGGACAAAATTTTCGAGTTTATCACAAATGTTAAGGGTAATCTCATATTGTAGACGGTTTCTAAATTTAAAATTGCCTGTATCCGAACGTGAACATTTTTCTAAATTTATTACGTCAAAGGAATTGTCAAAAACTTTAAATAACTGCATTATACAGGTGCAATCTATTGAATTTAACGAGGATATAAAACAGTTAAAGTCTCGTGGTTACGTGTTGAAAAGGAGTAAGCTTCGCAACCTTTGTCCCATTGTAGATAACAATGGAATTTTAAGAGTTGGCGGGCGTATTCAGAAATCAGAAATGGCCTATGATACACAGCATCAAATAATTTTACCCGCTAATAGTCATCTTACCAGGTTAATAATTAAAGATGCTCATTTCAGGACAATGCATGGCGGTTCTTTAGTGATGCTAAACTATCTAAGGTCAAAATACTGGATCTTACGAGCTAAAGATCTAACAAAGAAATTATACCGTGAGTGTATTACCTGCATTAGGTACTCCAAAAAGAATACCACGCAGCTAATGGGTCAGTTACCTGACGTGAGGGTAAAAGCCGATAGGGCTTTTAAATCATCTGGTGTGGACTACGCAGGCCCCATCAACATTCGTTTCTCGCCAGGCAGAGGAGCTAAATCGTACAAGGGATACATATGTTTGTTTATCTGTATGGTAACGCGGGCCATACACTTAGAAGCTGTTACAGACTTGACTGCTAAGGCATTCATTGCGGCTTTCCGTCGCTTCACGTCGAGAAGAGGTCATTGTCAAGATGTTTACAGTGATAACGGCACCAATTTCGTGGGTGCAGATAGACAACTGAGGGACATGTTCAACAGTGCCAAGTCTTCCATTCCTGGTGAAATAGCAGAGTTGCTTGTTCT